TAAGATTAGCTCTTTTTTGAGGAGCTTCATAATAAGGCCTACTTCAAAACCAGGGGCCAACTCATGTGATATGGGAGGGGTAGACATTGTGACAAAGACAGTGGAGAAGCACAATTTAGAGGCAAAGATGGAGAAAGGCAGTGAGTTAGAGTTCAGCGGCATTGTAACTGAGACAACGGAGAGGATCATCTTTGAAGCCAAATCCATTTAGTAAGATCCAGAGTAGGAAGCTGAGACAGAGACCAGGGCTTGGGACAGCAGCAGCAGTGAGCCCATTCCAGCTTCCCTAATGGCAGTTCCAATAATAAAGGTCACAAAACTGGAAAAGAATTCTGTCTCCTGTTTGCATTTCTGTGTTGCACACCCTGCCAGTGACTTCACAGTGGCTTCTGTGACATTAACTGCGCTGGTAAGGTAGAGTCGCCTACCCAGAGGTCCAGATGAGCCAAGGCTGAAGCAAGAGCATTAGTTCCCTTCTGTCTTTAGTTCCCTAAGTAGAGGTCTTGGGCCTCTGGGGGGGATCTTTGTATCCATTATCTCTTTCCCAAAGGCTATTTGTCAGTAGGAGCATTCAGTGTAGTCCATATTTGAAGGAAGACAGGGCAAGAAGATGCAGTGACCTTACCAGACAACTGGCATAAGGAAGTCTGTGATTTAAATCAAAGCTTCTTAAACTGTGGGTGTAAATCCTAAATGCAGGTGGCAAACAAATGAACAAACAAAATCACTGGCAACAGTTGGAGTTTTCTCAAGTTACAAAAACAAAGAATTCAAAATCAGAATTGAATGAAGCAGAGATAACTTTGGCAGAGCAGTCTTGGCTCTGAACACACAACTCACACACTCCACAATGTATGCAGTCACAGCATGCCACACCAGTCAAAGGTGTCTGATTAAAGGTTACTGTAAGTTAGGAACTGAAGATTTCTTACAACAGTTTTCTGCTCTCATAAAAACAACTGTTTAATTACAGCAAAGACCTATAATAGTTTCCTACCCCCACCCTTCAGCATATAAGTATCTCTGGACTGCACTTTGTGAGTATGCATGATCTGAATGCATTTTGGCTTGAGATCAGGACCAATTTCCCACAATTCCTGAAATAGCCCAGAACTTATTTCTGTCATGTTTTAGTATGTATTTATGTGAAGTGTCAATATGAACAATGACTATTACAAAATCAAAGTATTGGTCAAGTCCGAAAAATGTTGAAAATGTTCCATATCCTGAAGTTAACAAATATCCAGTAAAGACTTGACATTTTAGAGATTTGTTTTCATTATTTTAAATCATGTGTAGGTATGTGCATATGTGTGCAGGTGTGCTGGGTGGCTAGAGGCATCGCATCCTCCTGGATGGAGTTTTGGGCAGTTGTGAGCTACCCAATATGAGTGCTGGGGTCTGAACACAGGTCATTTGCAAAAGCAGGGCAAATTTAAGCATTGTGTCATCTCTCCAGGCCCAATATTTAATTTCTATGTAAAAATCAATATTATATGCATCCCAATATGCAAATTTGCTTTGCTCAATAATAAACAGTAAAATGAAATGTATTTCAAAGAACTATTTAAAATAATATTTCAATTTTTCTTTTGGGAGTTCTCTACTATACATAATGAAATATGACATGTATCCATTATTTTCTCTTCCAGCATCCTTCATATCTTTCCCAAAAGGTTACTCTCTCCCCTTCATCCTTTTTTAAAAAAAAATTTATATATATAT